GAAACCCCATCTCTACTAAAAGTACAAAAATTAGCTTGGCGTGGTGGCAGGCACCTGTAATCCCAGTTACTCAGGAGGCTGAGGCAAGAGAATTGCTTGAACCTGGGAAGTGGAGGCTGCAGTGAGCCAAAAGGCAAAGACAGTCCAGACCAGGCCTGGCCAAAGGCAAGACCAGGTCAGACCAGACCAAAAGGCAAGGCCATGCCAAAAGGCCAGGCCAAAATGCCAGACCAAGAGGCAAGGTCAGGCCAGACCAGGCCAAAAGTCCACGCCAAAAGGCAAGGCAAAGCCAGACCAGACCAAAACTCAAGGTCAGACCAGGCCAGGCAAAATGGCCAGACCAGGCCAGATGAAAAGGCCAGGCCAAAAGACAAGGCCAGGCCAAAAGGAAAGGCCAAAAGGCCAGGACAGGCCAAAAGGCGAAACCAGGTCAGATCAGACCAAAAGCCAAGGCCAGATCAAAAGGCAAGACTAAGTCAGACCAGACCAAAAGGCAAGGCCAGGCCAACAGAACAGGTGGAAAGGCCAGGCCAGGCCAAAAGAACAGGCCAAAAGGCAATGCCAGGCCAGACCAGGTCAAAATGTCATGCCAAAAGGCCAGGTCAGACCAGACCCGGCCAAAAGGCAAGGCCAAAAGGCAAGGTCAGGCCAGACCAGGCCGAAAGGTAAGGCCAGGCCAGGCTGGACCAAAAGGAAAGACCAGGCCAGACCAGACCAAAAAGCAAGACCAGGCCAGACCTGGCCAAAAGGTAAGACCAGGCTAGGCCAGACCTGGCCAAAATGTAAGGCCAGCCTAGACCAGGCCAGGCCAAAAGGCAAGTCCAGGCCAGGCTAGGAGGTTGCAGTGAGCTGAGATCATGCCACTGCACTTTAGCCTGGGTGACCAAGTGAGATTCCATCTCAAAAAAAAAAAAAAAAAAAATTGGCTGGGTGTGGTGGGGTGCACCTGTAATCCCAGCTTCTCAGGAGGCTGGGATGGGAGGATCACTTGAGCCAGGAAGGCTGAGGTTGTCAAGAGCTATGATCATGCCTGTGTTCTAGCCTGGGCAATAGAGGGAGACCTTATTTAAAAAACAAAAAAACTTATAAAAGAGATGAAGTTCCAAATCTTACCAAAATGAAACAGGAACAAGAAGGCTATAAGAGAAAAGTTCAGGGATATGGACAGCAGAAGCAGCAATGCTAATATCTGTTTAACAGATGTCCCAGGAAGGCAAAATAAAAGTGGGTAGTAGGGATTAGGAGGTATTTGAAGGGATAAAGAAGACACATTTTCTAGAATTACAAATGGGTCAGGCCAAGAGCTGTAATCCCAGAACTTTGGGAGGCTGAGGCAGGTGGATTGTCTGAGGTCAGGAGTTCGAGACCAGCCTGGACAACATGGTGAAACCCCATCTCCACTAAAAATGCAAAAAATTAGCCAGAAGTGGTGGTGAGTGCCTTTAGTCCCAGCTACTTGGGAGGCCGAGGCAGGAGAATCGCTTGAACCCAGGAGGTGGTGGTTGCAGTGAGCTGAGATCGTGTCACTGCACTCCAGCCTGGATGAAAGAGCAAGACTCTTGTGTGAAAAATAAAAAAGGAGGCTGATGGAGAAGGATACATATACATATATATGTATGTATATATATATATGTATGCATGTAGGTATATATAGGTATATATATGCTTGTGTTTGTGTATATATTTAAATACACAGAGAGAGCTTCCCCTAGTGAAGGCCTGGGGCCAGCTGTCTGTGGGTCAGGAGTCTAAAAATGGCTCTACTGGGTCCTCTGAAGGCTGCAATCCATGCTGGGGCTGCGTTCTCATCTGAGGCTCGACTGAGGAAGGGTCCATCCCCAAGTGCACTTGGTTGTTTCCAGCATTTACTTCCTTGGATGTGGACTGGATGCTGCCCTCAGCTCCTGGCCACGGGGTCCTTTTACAGCTGCTCATGACATAGCAGCTGACTTCCTCAAAGCCAGCAAGGGAGAGGGTCCTGCAGCAAGGCACATGTTAGCATAAGTCATATGTGATGCTTACTCTTCACCTCTGCTGTATCCCGCTGGGCAGGGCTGAGCCTCAGGACCCATGCACACTCAAGGGGAGGGTCCCCCACAAGGCATGAGCACTGAGAGGTGGGGACCCTGCGGCCATCCGAGAGTGCCCACCACATCTGGGAGCCATGTGTCTAGAAGACTATTGAAGTTTTGCGCCAACTTTTTTTGTTTTTTGTAAATGGAGTCTTACTCTGTTGCCCAGGCTGGAGTGCAGTGGATCGATCTCGGCTCACTGCACCTTCTGCCTCCTGGGTTCAAGCAATTCTCTGCCTCAGTCTCCTGAGTAGCTGGGACTACAGGTGCCTGCCACCATGCCCAGCTAATTTTTTGTATTTTTAGTAGAGAAGGGGTTTCACCATCTTGGCCAGGCTGGTCTTAAACTCCTGACCTTGTGATCCACTTTCCTTTGCCTGTCATAGTGCTGGGATTTACAGGTGTGAGCCACCGAGCCCCGCCTGTGGCAAAATTTTCTGTGAAATGACGCATCCCTTACCTATATAGTGAACAATGCAAAACTTGAATATTAGAGAGCACTGTGTGTGCATGTGTGTGGCGGGGGGTGGGTGTTTTGAGGCAAGATTTCACTCTGTTGTCCAGCCTGGAGTGCAGTGACATGGTCATAGCTCTCTGCAGTCTTGAACTCCAGGATCAGGTGATCCTGCCACCTTAGCCTCCTGAACAGCTGGAACTACAGATGTGCGCCACCCTGCCTGGCTAATTTTTGTATTTTTTTTTGTAGAGACGGGGTCTTGCTCTGTTGCCCAAACTGGTCTTGAACTCCTGGACTCAAGTGATTCTCCTCTTTTGTCCCCCAAAGTGCTGGGATTGCAGGCATGAGCCACCATGCCTGGCCACATTGTTTATTTTTATTTTTTATTTTCTTTTATTTTGAGACGGGGTTTCATTCCTGTTGCCCAGGCTGGAGTGTAGTGGCATGCTCTCAGCTCACTACAACCTCCGCCTCCCGGGTTCAAATGATTCTCCTGTCTCGGCCTCCCGAGTAGCTGGGACTACAAGCATGCCACCATACCTGGCTAATTTTTGCATTTTTTGTAGAGACAGTGTTTCACCATGTTGGCCAGGCTGGTTTCAAACTCCTGACCTCAGGTGATCTGCCTGCCTAGGCCTCCCACAGTGCTGGGATTACAGGTGTGAGCTACTGCACCCGGCCAGAGAATAATAATTATTATTGTCCATGGTTCCTAGGCTTCTACTATGAGTTGCGTGCCCATGCTCAGTCTCATCCCTCAGTCCTCGTATGTCCACCCAGATTTGAGGATCAGTGGCCTCTCCCGTCAGCCACAATCCTCTGCAGTATCTCCTCCATCCTCAGCTCAGAGAGCTCGCAGATGTTGCTCAGTGAACGCAGCTGGCTGGCGGAGGCTCAGCAGCCGCAGCCAGGAAGCCCACCTACAGATCCCATCTCAAACCACGACGCTCTGCAACCTCCCCAGTGGCCAGAGCAACTTAACAAAGAATCTTTGTCTCCTTTCTGCAGCCCAGAAAATATCTGTGTTTGTCTCTTTGCCATGCTGAGTGAATAAAGAATAAGACAAACACCAACCGTGAATACTTGGTGCTTTCGACATAGCAGGGGAGACAGAGATTGAGCCAGCAGCCTTGCCCATCATTATTCAATTGCACTTGTGACGAAAGCTAGCTACCACGGAGAAGTACTGGGATCCCTGGGCCCTCTGGAGGCGGTGCTGGTGCCTTAGGGAATTTCCCTGTGTAAGTAACATTTTGGTTGCATCTTGGAGGGTGAATTGGAGCTGACAGAGCACAGAGTTTAGAGGTGTGTGATGACTGGGAAAAGAATGTGGCTTTGGTGGGTGCGGTGGCTCATGCCTATAGTCCCAGCACTCTGGGAAGCTGGGGAGAGGATTTTTTGGGGCCAGGAGTTCAGGACCAGCCTGAGCAACATAGTGAGAGCCCATTTCGACCAAAAAAAAAAAATTTTTTTTTTAAATCCCAGGTGTGGTGGTGCACACTTGTGGTCCCAGCTACTCAGGATGCTGAGGTGGGAGGATGGTTTGAGCCCAGGAATTTGAGGTTGCAGTGAACTGTGGTCACAGCACTGCACTCCAGCCTGGGCGACAGAGTAAGATCCTGTCTCAAAATAACAACAAAAAGATTAAAAAAAAAAAAGCATAAAGAATGTGGCTCTTTGGTTGGAGTTTTGCAAAGCATGGTCACTGTGGTACAGTTGGTCACAATGAATCCTACAGGCACATTCTAGGGTGAAGTAAGACCCCATAGGGCTTAGAAATGTGAACAGCTTTGCTGGGAAAAATAATAGGGCCAAGCATGTAGGGTGGGTCCTTCCCTATGGGCAGAGGGCACTTTCCTGGGACTTTTGAATGGATAACCCAATCGCCAGCTGCCCATTTTCAGTAGAGGGCATAGCTGCTTAGCCACTGTGTGACAGCCGGGATTTGTCACTGTGGCGACCCACCTGTTGAGGTTCACATGGTTTGATGACCAAGCACAGCTCCTCTGAGTTCACCGGACCCCTCCCTGTGTCTTAATCCAGGACCATTTAATCGGGTTGTTAGTGTGTGTGTTGGGGGGGATTATGTAAGAGCTGGGGTGTATTCACTTGGATGTTCTCAGTTGCAACTAACAAAAAGCAAAAAGCCAACTGGCTCAGGCAGTAGAAGGTATTTATTTTATTTATTTAGAGATGGAGTTTTGCTCTCATTGCCCAGGCTGGAGTGCAGTGGTGCAATCTCGGCTCACTGCAACCTCTGCCTCCCAAGTTCAAGTGATTCTCCTGCCTCAGCTTTCCGAGTAGCTGAGATTATAGGCACGTGCCACCACGCCTGGCTAATTTTGTATTTTTAGTAGAGATGGGGTTTTGCCATGTTGACCAGGCTGGTCTCGAACTCCTGACCTCTGGTGATCCACCTGCCTCAGCCTCCCAAAGTGCTGGGATTACAGATGCGAGCCACCATGACTGGCTGAAGGCATTTATTGATGAACAGAATTGGGAAGTCCAGATATGGGGAGAGCCTCAGGTTTAGTTTGAGGATGGCCGTGGCTCCGTTTCTCCAGGATCCTGTTTCTTCCCACTTCTGTGTCGATTTCATCCTCTGGGACTGATCAGACAGTGAGCAGGACACTAAGGAACCATCTGGCATTGGCTCAAGCCAGTAAGGCTGCAGCAGGAGAGGCCTGGGAATCAGGCAGAAGGTCGTCTGCAGGCTGGGGCGGTGGGGGCCACACCTCAAACTTCTACCAGAGCCAGTCTGGAGAGGGAGTTCTTACAGGGTGGGGGAGGGGCAGAGGTTGGGGGCCACTGGAACAGGGACCTGAATGACCAGGAAAAGTGTGAAAGTGAGAAGCAGTGGGAGCTGCTGTTGTACCAGTGAGGAGGACCTCAGCTCAGTGGGGCCCGGGGTCGCATGTCTGGTGGGCCAGGTGCATGCTGCCAGCAGCCAGCCTCCAAACCTGGGCGGTCCTTGTCTCTAAAGGACACAGGCTGAGGAGGCTCTCTGCCTGGGGAGGTATCGCAGCAGAAGGAGGGCTTGTGTGTGTGCCTTGGGATCGGAGGGCTATCCTGTGAGGTCAGCTGGAGAGGGGCCTCCACTCTTGCTAGAGGCACAGTTCGGGGGAAGTCTTTATAGGGGGTTTCCAGAGAACCCCAGGAGAGCCCGGTAGAGAAGCAGCCAGCCCTGGAGCGTCTGCCCCCAAAGAAGACACCGCCTCGGTCAGGTGTCACCTGGGCCTCTTTTGCTATCCTTCTCATCACCCTGGAGGAGCAGAAGTAATTAGGGGAGGAGGAGGGAGTGGAGGGGCCCCCGGGAGCACAGGATGGCACCGCTGGTCTGCGGCAGCTCCAGGCAGGCCTGGGCTCAGGGAGCCAGAGGTCTGAGAGGGTTGTGGGTTAGAATTCTGATTCAGAGACTGGGCCTGGATTCCTGAGAAAGGCTCAGGACAAATGCAGGTCTGCCTGGAACGGGGCTGGGGCCAGTAGGTGCTGAGGGTGAGGGCTGAGGAACTTCATGTTTGACCCCCAAGGGTGGCCTGCTTGGTTTACATTCACCCTGGCAGGAAGAGGCTGGGGCAGTGTCGGCCCTGCTGGGGAGCATGCTGGGCGGGGCTGGTGACTTGCGTAGTGCCTGTGCGGCCAGGTGAGTGGGGGGAGAGGTGAGCACCAGGCAGGTGAGTGTGGAAGAGGTGAGCATGGAACAGGGAACCTGAACAGGTGAGTGTGGACCCGGGGGCATGGGAGGGCTGAGTGGGAGACAGTGAGTGTGTATAGGTGAGTGGGGGAACAGGAGAGCACAGGGCAGGTAAGTGTGGAATAGGGAAGCTGGACAGGTGAGTGTGGAACAGGTGAGCATGGGATGGGTGAATGGGAGACAATGAGTGTGTACAGGTGAGTGGGGCAACATGGGCATGGGTCAGATGAGTTCGAGACAGCCGAGCAATACACAAGAAAGCTGGACAGTTGAGTGTGGAACAGGTGAGCATAAGATGGGTGAACACGAGTGTACAGGAGAGTGGGAGACAGGTGAGCATGGAAAAGGAGAGTGGGGCAGGTGAGCGGGGGACCAGCGGGCTGGGCAAGGGAATATGGAGAGGGACACAGATGTCATCTCCTTCACAGCATGATCTGCCTGCCCTTCTCCTGGTGTTAGAGCCTCTGGGGAAGGGGAGATGGAGTTTCTGCCCCCATCCTGGCAGGATGGGGCAAGTGTGCGGTGGAAGGATAAGGATGATTCCTTTTCCTGCAGGGTTGTGGTTATGAGTTAGGGATGTCACCAAGAGAGGCTCCTCCTAGGCTTCGGTGACCTCTGGACCCCCATGGAAGGTGGGAAAGAATTTAGGAAGACCCTGATTTCTCACTGGGCATTGGGGTGAAGCTGGTGGCCCTAACCGGTGGGAGACAGCTGGGGGAGGAGTGCTGGGCCCACCTGGCCACCCTCTTCTGGCCCTTAAGGGAACGCGAGACCCCAGGGAACAGGCATGCTTGCTGGGTACGGGTGTCCTATAGACGCAGGGATGTGACCCTCCCAGGTGTGAGCAGCTCAGGCGGCTGCGGTGGGCGTGAAGGTGTGTGTGTGGGTGCCCAGATCATCACCTGGCAGCCCCACGGCCTGCACCAGCTGGCGTGGGCGACTCAGGGTCTGAGTGGAGGGGGCGAGGGGCGGCAAGAGGGGAGTCCAGCCGTGCCGCCCATGAACGTGCGCGGGGGCGGGTATAGGGCGGGGAGCCCGGCGGGGGAGGGGAGAGTCTGGGTGGGCAGGGACTGGGGGTGCCCGCGGGGAGGTGTTGGTGAGGGGAGACTGGCTGCGGGCCTCCCTGGGCGGCGGGGGGGCGGCGCCGCTGCAGTGCCGGGACCCGCTCGCTCGCCCCGTAGTCCCCGCGCCCCGCGTACCTGCGCAGCCGCCTCCTGGCCTCGGGCGCCGCGCATCCAGGGACATGGGGCTGGGCTGGGGTCTGTGCCGGGATCCCCGGGCCTGGGAGGCCCCCCGGGCATGGGGGCATCTAGGAGGGTTCGGCCCCCCGGGAGTGGGTTGGGGGGGCGCGCGAGGCTGAGCCGGGCCCGGGGCGCCCAGTCAGGGGTTCCCGGGGGCTCTCACCGGTGCGGAGGCCGGGGCTGGGGCTCGGGGTGCGGGATCTTGGGTTGGAGGCCGCTTTCCCCGGGGGCGGCTGGGCTGGGCTGCGGTCCTGCGCTCTGCAGTGCGGGGCGGGCGCGGCCAGGCCTGGCCATGGTGACTTCGCCTGCGCGGCCGCCGCGTTTGTCTCCCCCGGTTCCCCCCGCCCGGCTCCCCTTGTTTACCTGCGTTTCTGCTTTTTTCTGTGAAGAGGCCCGCCCAGCCCAGCCCATCCACAGCCTCACCCTCCTCTCTCCCTCCCCTGAGGCCGCGCGCAGGGGCCCCCCAGCATTCACATTTCACACGAGTGCCCCCAGAAGGAGGGGATGGAGGAGCGCAAGGCCCTGTAACCCCCGGGATAGACCCACAGGGCGCCCGGCCCCCCTACTCCTCCCACTGCGGAATCCTCGGAGCCGCAGAAGGGGCTTCTCAGCCGCGTGCGCCTGTGTCCGAGCCCATCCACCCCTGCCCGGTGCGTTGAGAGGGAAAGCTCTGGGGGTCGTTACGTTTAACAACTCACCTGGCTCTGCGGAATGAAAGGGAAACAGTGACTTTCTTACCGGCTCCTTGGAGAAGCCTGATTCACGCCGCCTGCGTTTATGCGGCGCGCAGCCCCGGGCCGCTCTCAGGCCTCGGTGATCTGTTTTCTGGACAGGAAGGAAGCAGCAGCCCGCGCCATGGCCTCCCCGCCCACCTGCCCCTTGGAGGAGGACGAGAGCCTGAAGGGCTGCGAGCTGTACGTGCAGCTGCACGGGATCCAGCAGGTCCTCAAGGACGGCATCGTGCACCTCTGCATCTCCAAGCCCGAGCGCCCCATGAAGTTCCTCCGGGAGCACTTCGAGAAGCTGGAGAAGGTGAGTGGCCCCCACCGCCCCGCCGTTTCCCTTCGCAGGTGTCCTGGGGCAGAGGCAGCAGCCAGAGAAACCTTCCCTCCATCCTGTGGTTTTCCAAGGCTGGGTGCCCTAGAGAACGTCTGCCATCCTGCAGCTCCTTCCAGAAGCGCGGGCAGAGAGGCCAACCTGGGACCCACCCTCCCTTGTTCGAGCTCTTGAGAGTCATCCCTCCTAGGCTCGGTCCTCCGAGCCACAGAATTTTCCCTTCTGTTTCCAGTGGGTTCTAGGTCTTCAGCGCTCTTGGGGAAGGCGATTCGCGGTTTAGGTCCAGGTATTTTGTTAGCGTGTGGGACTTACCGACAGTTTTCAGCTTGAGGAACGAAGATGAGAGCCAGATCAGTTATAGATGCTGTCAACACTTGGGACAAAAGACAATAGCTCCCACAGGATAGCTCACGCCTGTAATCCCAGCGCTTTCGGAGGCGAGGCAGGTAGATCACCTGAGGTCAGGAGTTCGAGACCAGCCTGGCCAACATGGCGAAACTCCATCTCTACTGAAAATACAAAAATTAGCCTGGCATGTTGTTGGGCACCTGTAATCCCAGCTACTGGGGTGGTTGAGGCCAGAGAATCACTTGAACTGGGAGATGGAGGCTGCGATGAGCCGAGATTGCACCACTGCACTCCAGCCTGGGCAACAGAGCAAGACTCTATATGAAAAAAAGGAAAAAGGGGAGAGAGATCCAAGATGGCTGATCACTAGCAGCTCGGGATTGTAGCTCCCAGTGAAAGCGCAAAGAATGAGAGGACGCCACACCTTCACATGAATTCTTGTTGCTCACGCACCAGGAGATTCCCAGCGGAGGAGCCCCACAGGTCGCCAGCGCGACTCTTGTGACCGGCGAGGCGGTTTTGCCGGCGCCTTGGAGCGATGGTTCTTGGTGCAGAGTCAGAAAAGCACCATCATTCTTAACGCCGCTGATTTGGTCGGTGCAGTGGGTTGCTCAGATTTCGGCGCTGAGAATCAGTAAGTTGGACGTCCACTCAGAAACCTAATTACAAAGACGGTGAATACAAAGACCACAGATGGATAAATTTATAACGAAGGGAGGAAAACGGCCAAAAAAGGCTGAGAATGCCCAAGATCAGAACGCCTCTCCCTCAGCGGGGGATCACAGTTCCTCATCAGCAACGGAACAAGGCTTGATGGAGAACGAGTGTGTTCCAATTACAGAAGCAGGCTTCAAAATGTGGATAATGAGAAACTTCTGTGAATTAAAAGAACTGGTTTTAACCCAATCTAAAGTAACTAAGAACTTTGAAAAAAGATTTGACGAAACGTTAACAAGAATACACAATTTAGAGAGGAATATAAGTGAATTGATGGAGCTGAAAAACACAATAGGAGAACTTCGTGAAGTATGCACAAGTTTTAACAGCCGAATTGATCAAGCAGAAGAAAGGATATCAGAGGTTGAAGACCAACTCAATGAAATAAAACAAGAAGACAAGATTAGAGAAAAAAGGATGAAAAGGAACGAGCAAAGTCTCCAAGAAATATGGGACTATGTGAAAAGACCTAATCTACGCTTGGTAGGAGTACCTGAATGTGACGAAGAGAATGAATCCAAGCTGGAAAATACGCTTCAGGACATTATTCAGGAAAATTTTCCCAGCCTCGTAAGGCAGGATAATATTCAACTCCAGGTAATACAGAGAACACCACAGAGATATTCCTCAAGAAGAGCAACTCCAAGGCACATAATCGTCAGATTCACCAGGGTTGAAATGAAGGAGAAAATACTAAGGGCAGCCAGAGAGAAAGGTCAGGTTACCCACAAAGGGAAGCCTATCAGACTTACAGCAGATCTCTCAGCAGAAACCCTACAAGCCAGAAGAGAGTGGGGGCCAATATTTAACATCCTTAAAGAAAAGAACTTTCAACCCAGAATTTCACATCCAGCCAAACTAAGCTTCACAAGTGAAGGAAAAATAAAGTTTTTTGTGAATAAGCAAGCACTCAGAGATTTCATCACCACCAGGCCTGCTTTACAAGAGCTTCTGAAAGAACCACTACACATAGAAAGGAACAAACAGTATCAGCCTTTCTAAAAAAATTATTAAAAAGAGCATCAATATAATGAAGAATTTACATCAACTAATCGGCAAAATAGCCAGCTAATGGCAGTATTAAACTCACATATATTATTATTAATTCTAAATTTAAATTGACTAAATCCCCCAATCCAAAGACAGGCAATTTGAATAAAAAACTAAAACCCATCAGTATGCTGCATCCAGACCCATCTCACATTCAAGGATACACAAAGACTCCAAACAAGAGATGGAGAAAGATTTACCAACCAAACAGAGAGCTAAAATAAATAAATAAAAAGCAGAAGTTACAATTAAGCAACAAAGATCAAAAGAAGCGAAGAAGGACATTATATAATGATAAAAGGATCAATGCAACAACAAGAAGAGCTAAAGATCCTAAATATATACGCACCCAATACAGGAATACGCAGACATACAAGACTTATAAAGAGACTTAGACTCCCACACAGTAATAGTGGGAGACTTCAACATTAATATTAGACAGATCAATGAGACAGAAAATTAACAACGATATTCAGGACTTGAACTCAGATCTGGAACAAGTAAATGTAATTAACATTTATAGAACTCTCCACTTTAAATATACAAAATATACACTGTTATCAGTACCACATCATATCAACTTAGAAGTTTAAAAGAAATTTTGGTTGGCTCCTTGTTTGTTATTCTCTTCCCTCATTTTCTTTTATATCTCCATTATTAAGCACAATTATAGGCATACCCATATTTAGATTGCATTCTAGCCCGGGCAATAAAGCAATACCCCCATCCTCTCTCCCTCTTCCTCTTTCTCTTTCTTCCTCTTCTTTATTCTTTTTCTTATAAAAAAAAAAAAGAAACATTTGTAAAATTTCTAAACATTATTAGAAATTAACAATAGGGTCCCCCCCCAAAAAAAACAAAAAAAAAAAAACAAAAAAAAACATGCAATGATAAATAGTAAGGCTGTCTCCAGAACCTAAGCAGAGCCCAGCCCCATCAGACATGAAAAGAAAATAACACCTGTGGAAAAAAAAAAAAAAAAAAAAGGAAAAAGAAAATAGCTCCCATGGCTAAGGTGATGTGGGATGTTTCCATGTTAATGTGTGTGTCTGAGACCTTGTGGCGGTGGGAGAGGAAAGTGCCCTTCAGTGTGTGTGGTGGGAGAAGCCCAGGCCTGCTCCCGCTCTTCTCTACCCCATACCTCATTCCTCCGGGAGTGATGCCTCTCACCCGCTTCCTGGCCTCCTGCATCTGGGTTCTTTTCATAGAAGTACATGCCAGGGAAGTGGAGGCTGGGACAGGAGCCCTCGAGATGACCCAGCTGCGTCCCCTCCCCTCCCCTCGCTGCGGGCTTCTCCAGTCCTTGCTCTGGGCCCCACCCCAGGCTTTCTGGGTATCCCCTAAGGTTTCGCCTCTTGGTTCTTTAACACAAGTTAACTGTTCCCTGTGCCCATCTCTTCTGGGAGGCCAAAGGGGAACTTGGGAAGTCTGGTTCAGGCGAAGGTCGGCCTTTAAGCGCCTGTGAGCCACCTGGTCCCCATCCAGCGGTGTTGATGCGTTTGACAGGGCCTCTGGTGATCACGTGGCCTTAACCCAAAGAGATGAATTTAACTCTTCCCTTGGAAACAATCCTTGAAGAAACACTTTAAAGTTATGCATACCTGTTAAGGAAAATTTGAAAAGTTCTGAAGTGGAAAGAAAAAATAAAAATGCCCTGGACTCCTCTCCACCGAAGTTGTGGCAACTGCCTGTGGTCCCAGCTACCTGGAGGCTGAGGTGGGAGGATCACTTGATCTCAGGAGTTTGAGGCTGTGGTGAGCCATCATCACACCACTGCGTTCCAGCCTGGACGACAGAGCAAAACCCTGTCTCAGAAATACATACATACATACATACATACATGCACATATATGCATGTGTACACACATGCATAAGTCCTAGCTGCAGTCACCTTATAGATGCAATTTGTATTTTGTGTTTTTTTATACACTCTTTAAAGATCTCACTTTAAGTGACTGCATAATGTTCTGTGGAAGATATACTAAGGCTTTTCAACCTTTTCCCCGTAAGTGAGTGGACAATTGCTTCCTCTTTTTTTTTTTTTTTTTTTTTGTATTAAATATTGGGGCCAATGGGCATGGTACCTCATGCCTGTAATCTACTAAAAATACAAAAATTAGCCAGGCATAGTGGTGGCTGCCTGTAATCCCAGTTACTCGGGAGGCTGAGGCAGAAGAATCACTTGAACCTGGGAGGTGGAAGTTGCTGTGAGCTGAGATCATGCCGCTACACTCCAGCCTGGGCAACAGAGCGAGACTGTCTCAAAACAAAACAAAACAAAACAAAACAAACCTGGGGTCGAGTGTGGCGGCTCATGTTTTTAATCCCAGCACTTTGGGAAGCCCAGGTGGGTGGATCACTTGAGCCCAGGAGTTGGAGACCAGACTGGCCAAGATGGTGAAACCCCATCTCTACTAAAAATCCAAAAGTTAGCTGGGAGTGGTGGCATGCACCTGTATTCCCAGCTGCTCAAGAGGCTGAGGCAGGAAAATTGTTTGAACCAGGGAGGTGGAAGTTGCAGTGAACCGATTGCGAAACTGCACTCCAGTCTGGGTGACAGAGTGAGACTCTGTTTCAAAAATAAATAATTTTTTTAAAAAAGTATATGGGAGGATGTGTGTAGGTTACATGCAAATAGGATACCATTTTATATCAGGGACATTAGCATCCACAGGTTCTGGTACCCTTAGAGATTCTAGAGCCATCCCCATGGATACCAGGGGATGAGTGTACCACACACCGGGCATCTTAAACAACAGAAACGTCTCTTCCCACAGTTCTGGAGGCTGGAAGTCCAAGATCAAGGTGTAGGGGAATGGCTTCTTCTGGGTCCATGTAGAAGAAAGTTCTGTGTCTCTCCGCCCCTAGCCGCAGCTCTGGCTGGTGCTGGGGATCTTTGGTGGTCCAGGTTGGCAGGTGCATCACGGGTCTCTGCCTTCATCTTCACATGGTGTTGTGCCCCCGGTCCAAATCCTTCTTCCACCTCCTTTTTTTTTTTTTTTTTTTTTTGAGACGAAGTCTCACTCTGTCACCCAGGCTGGAGTGCAATGACGTGATCTTGCTCACTGTAATCTCCGCCTCCCGAGTTCAAGCGATTCTCCTGCCCCAGCCTCCCGAGTAGCTGGGGACTACAGGCACATGCCACCACACCCAGCTAGTTTTTGTATTTTTAATAGAGACGGGGTTTCACCATGTTGGCTAGAATGGACTCGATCTCTTGACCTCAAGATCCGCCTGCCTTAGCCTCCCAAGGTGCTAGGATTACAGACGTCAGCCCCTACGCCTGGTCCAAATTTCCCGTTTTTATAGGGACACCAGTCATTCCGGATCAAGGCCACCCTAATGACCTCATTGTAACTTCATCGCCTCCATCAAGACCCTGTCTCCAAATAAAGTCAACTTCTGAGCTTCTGAGGTTAGCACTCCAGAGTGTCTATTTTTGGGGACACGATTCACCGATCCCAGTGGCCTTCTTGGGCCTGGGCAGGGCAGTTTTTCTCAGGCCCTTCTCCAGCAGTGAGCCATTGCTGAGTGAAAATAGCAGGTTGCAAGATATGCTCTATGGTACAGTTCCCTTTTTCTCGAAAGTGATACCAATGCTAATGCGTCTGTATGCAAAGAAAAAAATCTGAGAGGCATCCACCAAAATGTGGATAAGAGTGGGGTCTCCGGGCACGATTACAGGTCATTTTTGTTTCTGTTTTCTGCAGTAGCTGATAGGGACAGACCTTTGGGGAGCTTTGGTGAAGTCTTTGAAATCGCATGCATGTTCTATGTGTGGGTGTGTTTAACTGGGAAGAATGCTCCTTCGCTTGCAGTGGCTTCTCAAATGGAGCTGACATCCCAAAATATAAACCACCTAACAGGGCCCTAAAATTCCACCGGAGTCTCATTTTCTGCTGCGTTCTCTTGACCAGTGAGGTGTTATGGAATGCTTGCAATAGAACCAGGAAGTGTGTCTCTGGGCAGGGCGGCAGCTCTGGTGAAGAGGGCCAGGGTCTGAGCCACCCCCTCGAGGCCAGCCAGGACTGAGTGGCAGGAAGAAGCCTCCCAGGGAGGGTTTTTCTCCACTTGTATCTCAATCAGGGTGCATGTTTGTGAGGCTTTCATAAAGCACCTGGGATAAACCCACACAGACCAGCAGGGATGGCCCAGCTTTGAGTGCCATCCTTGCCAACTGGGCTTGGCCTCTGGTGCCTTTGTGAATAAGTTCTTCTGTGGTGGTGACTTAAGCTGACAAACTATTCCTTATTTGATGGCAAAACACAGTGTGGGAGTTTCCTCAACAGGATGTGATCTTTCAGAAGATTATGCAAAATGACAACATCATCAATCTTTTTTTTTGAGACAGGATCTGGCTCTGTTGTCCAGGCTGGAGTACAGTGGCATGATTGCAGCTGACTGCAACCTCCACCTTTCAGGCTCAAGCCATCCTCCCACCTCAGCCTCCCGAGTAGCTGGGACTATAGGTGCACACCGCTATGCCTGGCTAATTTTTTTTTTTTTTTTTTTTTGAGATGGAGTTTCGCTCTTGTTACCCAATGGTGCGATCTCAGCTCACCGCAACCTCTGCCTTCTGGGTTCAGGCAATTCTCCTGCCTCAGCCTCCTGAGTAGCTGGGATTACAGGCACAAGCCACCATGCCCAGCTAATTTTTTGTATTTTTAGTAGAGACGGGGTTTCACCATGTTGACCAGGATGGTCTCAATCTCTTGACGTTGTGATCCACCCGCCTCGGCCTCCCAAAGTGCTGGGATTACAGGTGTGAGCCACTGCGCCCAGCCCAATTTTTGTATTTTTTGTAGAGATGGGTTTTTGCTATGTTGCCCAGGCTTGTCTCAAACACTCCTGACTTCAAGCGATCCTCCCTGCTCGGCTTCCCAAAGTGCTGGGATTACAGATGTGAGCTACGGCACCTGGCTCATCTGTTTTTCTTTCTTTCTTTCTTTCTTTTTTTCTTTTTTGAGATGGAGTTTTGCTCTTGTTGCCCAGGCTAGAGGACAATGGTGTAATCTCAGCTCACTGCAACCTCCACCTCCTGGGTTCAAGCAAGTCTCTTGCCTCAGCCTCCCGAGTAGCTGGGATTACAGGCATGTGCCACCATATTTGGCTAATTTTGTATTTTCAGTAGAGAAGGGGTTTCACCATGTTGGCCAGGCTGGTCTTGAACTTCTAACCTCAGGTGATCCGCCCGTCTTGACCTCCCAAAATGTTGAGATTACAGACATGAGCCACCGTGCCCGGTTCATCTGTGTTTTTTTTAGCATCAACGGGTCCTGTGTTTTTATTGCTGGACAGTGGTCTGTTATATAGATGGATTGCAGCTTGTCTAGCCTGTGCCCAGTCTAGGAACCTTTCCAGTTTTTGCCAACTACAAATAAAGGTGCTATAAATAGTCATCTTACAGGTTTTCAGTGTGGAACTAGGTTTTTATTTCACTTGAGTAAATGTTTAGTAGTGAAATTCCTGGGTCATAGGGTAAGTGTATGTTTATAAGAAACTGCCAAGCTGTTTTCCAGAATGTCTGTCCTATCTCGTGTTCCAAGCAGCCGTGGTTCTTGTTCCTCAGTATTGGCACCCTTTAATATTGTCAATTTAAAAAAACGTTTAGCCATTTCTAATAGATATATGGTGGCACTTCTTTTTAAGATTAACACACAGTAAAATTAACTCTTGCGAGTTTTAACATGTGGAGTTTCAGCTCCAGCACATTTAGCACACAGAACGGTTCCACCACTCCCAAAACTCCCAAGTGCTGCCCCTCTGAAGTCACGCAGTCTCCCACCTCAGTCCCTGGCAACCACTCATCTGTTCTTCAACAATATGGCTTTGGCTTTTTGAGAATGTAATAACAAATGTAATTATACTTTATATAACCTTGAGACTGGCTTTTTCTCAGAAGAATGTCTTTGAGATCAGTCCAAGTCTCCGTGTATATTAATGGTTCATTCCTTTTTTTTTTTTCTCCCTTTCATTCCTTTTGACGGCTGAGCCGTATTTCACTGAACAGATGTGCCAGTTTGTTTATCCACTCACCTGGTGCAGAAGGTGGGAAAAGATAGCATGGGGAGAAATGACAGATACAGGTGAGAGGACGGAAGGCAGCAAACCACACTGCCATGTGTGTACCTATGCAACAATCTTGCATATTCATCACATGAAACCGTAGCTGTTCTAACAGATGTGTGGTGGGATTGGGTCGCTCTTTTCTCTTTTTCTTTCTTTCTTTTTTTTTTTTTTTTTTTTTTTTTGAGACAGAGTTTCTCTCTGTTGCCCAGTCTGTAGTGCAGTAGCATGATCTCGGCTCACTGCAACCTCTGCCTCCTGGGTTCAAATGATTCTTCTGCCTCAGCCTCCCGAGTAGCTGGGACTACATACAAGCTTGTGCCATAACACCTGGCTAATTTTTTTTTTTTTTTTGTATTTTTAGTAGAGATGGGGTTTCACTATGTTAGTCAGGCTGGATTTGAACTCCTGACCTCGTGATCCACCTGCCTCGGCTTTCCAAAGTGCTGGGATTACAGGTGTGAGCCACTGTGCCTGGCCAAATTTCATTTTCTGGCATATAGAATAGCTAGTTGCTCCAACATCATTTTTTTAGGACAGGGTCTCCCAGGCTGGTCTTGGACTCCTGACCTCCAGTGATCCTCTCACCTCAGCCTCCCAAAGTGCTGGAGTTACAGGCATGAGCCACTGTGCCCAGCCCCCAACATCATTTATTGACATGATTTATTGACAAGACTATCCTTTGTCCACTGAACTGCCTTGGCAACTTTGTAGAAAGAAGTTGGTCTAATTTGTCTGGGTCTATTTTTAAACTTTATCCTGATCCATTGCTGACCTGGTATTTAAATGTAATAGTGACAAGGAGTTCACAGTACAGTTCTTATGCACTAACAGGAGCATCTGATGCAGTGGCCAAAAGGTTGATTAAAAGCTCGTCAACTTTTAACTTTATTGCAGCCCCTAGTTCTCCAAACCCTAAGTCCCTGGCTGCTGAGGTCTCCTGCTGGGGCTCACGGTGCTTCTGACACCATCCAAGACCAATATAGCCCCTGCCCTCACTTAGACCATTCTGTGGAGAGGAGGTGCTTTTAGCTGCATGAGGACAGAACCCATCCTTCCCAGAAGGGCACAGCCTTGGGGAACACTTCCATCTCTTGGTGGGGAACAGTGCCCAGGCCCCTCAGTCCGTCCTGTGGCGTCATCCCACTCATGGGCTGGGTTCCGAGGAGCCAGCAGCTCTCCTGGTTTCAAGTGCTATCATTTTCCTGTGCATTCTCAGGAGGCCAGTACCACCCTGGGACCAGGCTGCCTGCATCCTGAGGCCACCAGCAGAGCTCTGGGATATGGGACATCTGCATTCTCTTGGAAAAATGAAGCAGGCTGAGAAGTCAGTTACAGGTGGGCGTGGAATCTGCTCTGGCAGGAATTGGCCCTGACACAGCTCAGGGTGAAGTGAAACCATGGGCACAGGGAAGCATGCCACGTACCATTGCCTTTGTCTGAGTGCTGAGGGTGGCTGTTGGCAGCACTGGGGACCCCGTGGGTGGCCCAGCGTGTGTGGGCAATGCCAAAGTGTGCCTCAAACTCCACTTTTAAGTCCATGCTGTCTTGTTCTAAATGAAAGGAAAATCAGTTTTCTGCACTTTAACAATAATCCTTCATTGGGGACTTGCTGAAGGCGACCTGGTGTCATTACACCGAGTCACATCAACCACACAGACCACACCTCCTCACCAAGTCCCACCCCGGGAGTCTGGGCAGGCCCATGAACCACCTGTTTTGAGGACTATTTACTACTTCTCTGTAACTTAGCTCACTTCTTCACAGAAATAAACTCACTAAAGGAAAATTATTATATCTCTACCACAAACAGAAAAGCGGTATCATTTGCCAGAATAATTAAAATAACTACTGCATGTAACTATTCACACTTAAAAAAAATTATCTGGCCAGGCATGGTGGTCCACGCCTGTTACTGCAGCACTTTGGGAGGCCTAGGCGGGCTGATCAGAAGGTCAGGAGATCGAGACCATCCTGGCTTCCATGGTGAAACCCGTCTCTACTAAAAATACAAAAAATTAGCTGGGCATGGTGGCAAGTGCCTGTAATCCCAGCTACTCAGGAGGCTGAGGCAGAAGAATTGCTTGAACCTGGGAGGCGGAGGTTGCAGTGAGCCAAGATGGCACCATTGCACTCCAGCCTGGGCGACAGAGAGAGACTCTTTCTCAAAAAAATAAAATAAAAAGCCCCTTGATAGAGTTGATAAATGTTTATTTCTTATGGGCTTCATGCTAATAGCCAACATCTCATTTGCTTCTTATCAGTTCTACAAAGGAGGCCAGGTGGGATTATTGCTCCCAACTGACATTTGAGAAGAACCGAGGTCCTACAGCTAGCGGGTAGTAGGATCGGGAATCAAACCTTGACTTCAAGTTCAGTGTTTCCTACAACCTCTTTCACATTTTTGACATTCAAGGGCTCTTAAAAATCAAGCAGTCTGAATCCTTGCATGGTGCATGATTGCATGTGGTGAAAGGAAAAGATTTCTTTAATACACACAGTCAACTAATGACAGAGCTAGAACTAGGAGGCTTGTCTTTAGCATCCTCAGTCTAGGACCCCTTCCTTACAAGAGAGGAAGGAGCATAGAGAATGGGGATGGGAAGAAAAAGTGAGTTTTCGGATCCCCAGTAAAGACCTCATGCTCCTGGGTGGTGGTAGAACCACTGGGAAGCAACAAGTCTTTCTCCCTCATTCCCAGACCCTGAGGAGCTTTTTATCCCTACAGAGAACTACTCTGAGGTGGTCATCATCCAGCCCTGCTTCCCTGCCAAGTGACCAACCCCCTGGCCCAAGTGACAATGCACCGGGAGTTCCCTGTTGAGGAAGTCCCAGTGGATGAGACCGACATCTCCTTTGATGTGAGGAAGGGCTTCACCATTCACAGGCCCCAGGGCTCCTTGGCTGGCTCCCTCTTCTGCTTGGCCAGAAGGCATGAGACAAATCTCTACCAAGTACATGCTGGTCAACATCAATTATGTGTGGGTCTAGGGCTCTGGGTGGGCAGGGAAGGGGAGGAAATGGGAAGAGATACCTTTTTCAGGAACCTCCGGTTTCAGCTCTGTGGATTATGGAGCTCTAAACAACATCAGCTTTCAATAATACTCCATGTAGTCAACCATGTTCTCCAGCCAGCCGATCAGCCATGGAGCCAGCCAGCACCAGCTCAGCCTTTCTATCCACTGACCTATTCACAATCAAGTTAAACTATTCCATGCATATATCCTCCATCACTCAATCATTCCATCATCCACCCATACTCCATTAGTTTGTTCTACTCATTCATACATCTACACACCCTCTATCAATTTAACCACCTCAACCAATCACCCTCTATCCATTTTGCCCATGCATCCCATTCACCCATCTCTCCATCCCTCTACCTGCCATCAATTCAACAATTTGAACAATCAAGTCAACATGTTTGTCTCTAACTTCTCTACCCTCTTAACCATGGCAGAGCCATCTTCCTCCCCGAAACCTGCCAACCAACCTTCAACAACATCAGTCCAACTAGGAGAAAACTTCGATGTGACCTGCACACTTCTGGGTGAGCCAGGGATTGCTATGGACTTTGGCTGGAGATATCCAGGGCAGAAGGTAAGCAGCAGGTCGTGGAGGCTGTGTGTGTGGTGGAGAGTGTTGGGGCAGGGAGCTGGGAGGGAGGGATTAGTTAGGATCAAGAGTGATCGTGGTGGGATGAAGCTACTGCTTGACTGGGAATCTGATGAACCTGGATTCTGGTCCCAACTCTGATGCTGCTTCTCTGAGTGACCTGGGGCAAATCACTTTCCTTTTCTGGGCCCCAGTTTCCTCATCTGTCGAACAGTAACTTCTCAGATTACTGCGTGAGAATGTATAATTTGTTCCTTTTTTAATTTAACAAAAAATGAGCGCTTGCCACATGCCAGACACTGGAATAGGTACTAAGGTTATAAGGATGAGTCTAAGAGATGGATTCTGGTGTTTGCAAGCTTATCACCTAAGCAGGGAGGAGGAAGTGGAATATGGACAAACGCCACCATGTAGACAATCCAAATGCTGTAACGAGAATAAAACAGGGCAACGTGATAGGGTCTACATAAGATATAGTTGTTAAGGAGTCATCTTTGAGGTGACATTCAAGCCGAGACCAGACTGGCCTCAGCCACACGAAGATGGGACTAGAGCAAAAGCTCAGGCCCTGTGGCTGGGTGTGTGTGTGTAACAGGAGATGAACCAAATACCTTAGCAACTGTTTCCCTGGCGTCTGCTGTGAGCTCAGATCTTCCCAGGTGGTGTGGGAGAGGTGGTGGTTCTTTCTTCTCAAAGAACTTACTCCCATGAAGTTCAAACATCTGGAGAACAGCTGTGCGAAAAGGTATGTTACCAACATGGAGGACCTTAGGAATGTGTAAAAGGACTTCCTGGAAGAGCTGGAATTTGGTCAGAGCCCTGTGGAGGGGGAGAAGGATGATCTAGACCCGTGGTAGCAGGAGAAAGGGTAAGGGCGAACATGTCATACCCACATGAGACCCAGAGACTCATCTGTCCCAACACTGCCTCCTGTGCAGAATTCAGGGGAGTATATGGGCTCAGGAACTCAAGCATCGTTCTTGAGACTCCCAGGAGCCATCAATGACGTCTGAGTGGTGAGCTGATCTTGTACGGGTCCTAGGGAAAGAGTGGGGCAGAAATTCTCATGAGGGGGCTATCACCCAGCTGGAGGCCATTTAAGAAAATTATAGGATGGGGAGACAAGGTGCTCTGCAAGCTGTGGCTTGATAAGATCACCTCTTTCAGTAGCCTCCTCTTCCCTCTGAACTTAAAATGCACGGGCTCCACTTCGCTGCAGTCATCTGTGTAGCCTGAGCTAGCACATGGCTACTTCTGGAGTTCATCTCTCCATTTCCTGCAGTGGCTGCAGAGATGTGATAAAGGTGAACTCCACAGAGGCTTTAGGAGGTGGAAAAGGTAAGGGATCATCCTCCCACTTGTCAGAAGAGGAAACTGAGACCAAGAAGGGGAAAGGAGCACACAGATGGTTGGGAGACACTGGCTTGGCTTTACCAGGATTTCCTCAATACATTCTTCAGAATGATGGAATATCAGGAAGTTCCTTACCCCCTACCCCACTTCCTCTTATAACCATTACCTGCCTTGGAGATTCAAAACATACGTGTACATGTAACAGACTCAGTGGTCGGAGTCTCCCCAGTTTCACTTTGCTTTTCTCAATGTTTCCCAAACACTTCAGGTAATGATATTATTTTCCTTCCTCTCCTGCAAGGAGGTAGCACCTATTAGCACCCCTACGGAAGCAGAGGGCCACAAAGCCCACACTGGGAAGTGCTGCCCTGGAATGAGTTACCTCTGGATACTCTTTGAGGAAGGGAGGGAACCCCAGTTTCCCTCTGCAGACTTAAGAAACTTAAAGTTTTTCACAAAGAGCCTGGCTTTTAAGGTGCTCTAACATCAAGCCGAAGTGTGACCCTGGGTAAGTCACTTCCCCTTTCCTCAAAGGGATAAATAGTACCTCTTACTTGACCCTGGTGTGTGTCAGAGATGCACCTGGGGCGGCTGATAGTCACTTTTTATCCCCTACCAATGGGCCAGCCACTCTACATCAGTGAGCAGCCCCACGTGGTAACACTGGCAGGGCCAGGTACAGCAGGAGGCAGAGAGCACCTCGTATGTGGAGGAGACCTGGGCCAGGGACACTGGTGTCTATACCTGCCGGGCCACCAACCTTAGGGCACTGGTTTGGACACCACCCATGTCCATGTGACTCGAGGGCCTCATGTCTTCTTCCTAGCTCCCGCCCTGGCTGCAGGCATCTGGATATGGAGCAATAGGCAGAATCAGGGGTAGGTACCTGTGGGAATCTCAGTGCTTCCGACACCAGTGAGGGGCCTCGCAGTGCAGAAGGCACCTTCTCATTCATTCTTTGCACTGTCCCATTCTGTCACTCAGTTTTTGCCGCTCGCTTCAACCTCAGCCTCACTCCAAGCCTTGGCCTATTCAGAAGGCCATCCTTCAATCCAGCCTTCACCCTAGCCCCAGGCCCCACATCCACAGCTGGGCAAAGCAAGGGCCAGTGGGTTTTTGGTACTTGAGAAGGGTGCCCAGAACCAGGAATAGGCCACCCAGGCCCCAGGATTTATTCTTCAGAGATCCCCGCCACTGGCAGAAGTCCTCAGCGAAGACCCACCTTCCTTCTCTCCCAGAAAAACACAGAAGCCATGTAAATAAAGTGCTGCATGTTCTTTTTAGTTTCCATACATTGTCTGCCCCAGAGGGAGAGGCTGATCTCCTTGCACATTCACCACAGGCTGCAGAAGGGAAGCCTGGCTCCCCACCACGTGCTCCTTCCCCAGCCCTGCCCCTCTCAATTAAAACAATGCTTTCTAAAGTACATTCTGCAGCCTGACGTGCCTGTGAGGCGAGAGGTGTGAGAGGAACAGACGCTTGGTCAAAGAGGTTTGGGAGATGCTGGATACTTAGCTCCCTTCTTTGAAAGGCTCTGAGAAGTCACGCAGGTCACTGATCTGCTTAGGTGTCCCCAAAGAAGTTGGCAACCAATCGTGCCCACTCTTGGACATTAGTCCAATAAACTAATGTATCTCAGCCGTGCTTTGCAAAAAAGCTTCACGAAAAAGTACACATACGATTCCCTCCAGAGCTTTTCTCGAGGCTCCCGGGTGGCCTGTCTGACCAGGGCTGAAGAATCAGCACAGCACTGCCCTAGCCTCCCCTCTTCCCCTGCTTGGCTGCGGAATGGAGAAACACAGTCACCTCTGAACTTCTAAAACTAGAGAAGGAAGGAGACTGTACACAGCGGAATACAGAAGGCAGTCTGGATGATGTCACTGTAGGATGACTGATGAAAAATGCAGACTGACTGTTCTGACACTGGCTTAGGGCCTGGGCTGAAGGTGGGGACCTTGGGCAAGGCCCTTTGACTCCCGCGATCTGTTTTCCCTGTTGCCAATGAGGAAGAGGAACCTGCTTCAAGGACCTTATGAGGACCAGGGGAGGGAGGGATATGAAAAGCCTTTGATGCAAACGCTCTATGCAGGAGAGGAGTTATAATGATAGTCTCCAGTAGACCTGAAGCTTCCTGAGAAGAATCTGAAATCCACCGACTACCAGGGCTGGACGGACTGCTGAGGCTGGTTCTCTGGCCACACCTTGTCACCGATGGGGAAGCTGAGGGCCAGGTAGTAAAAGCCTGGGCCTGGGATCAGGGGTGGTAGGAGGAGGAGTTAAGGCAGAGAGCAGGAGTGAAAAAGAAATTAAGCGGGTGAGGGCCAGGGAGAGGAAGATTAAGTCAGGAAGATTACATCACAGACCTGATCTTCCCAGAGCCTGAGGAGAGAAACAGAGCAAAGGATGACAGATGAGATCTAGCTTTGACTCTGGGAGCTGCTCTGTGCCTCAGTTTCCCATGTGTTCAGGGATGAGGTTCCAGCTCTGACAGATGAATGGACTCCAACCACCAAGCTGGCCCCTGGGCCCAGATGGCACCACGACTGAAGGGCTAGGAGGGCTGAGGGGATGCGCCTTGCCTGGTGAAGGAGGAGGAGCTCTGGCTACTGCCCTGGGTGGACCTGACTCTGGCCCAGGAACGATGCCTCAGCTTGGGAGGCTGCCTGGCCCTGTCACCCTCAAGGGCCTTCAGAGACCGCTTCCCTGCCACTCACCTTTCCCACTCTGATTTGCAGGGTTTGTCCACACTCCCCTCAATCCCTACTCTGGCCTTCAGACAATCCTAGAATGGGACAGTGCAGGGACTAAGAGTCCTTTGACCAGTCCCCACACCCTGTTAGTGCAGGAGCACAGTGAGGCTGTGAGCAGGCCAGTGTTGAGTTAGAACACCTAGAGGAAGTTGACAAGTCGGCGAGTTGACAGCAGAGCTGCCAATCTGAGACCAGGGGCTGTCTCCTTTTTGTCAAGTGGCCATCGTGACGCAGGCTGCCCCTGGGAAAGCCTCGGAGCTTCTCGGATTGGGACAGAGGCCGAGGGAGGGAGGAAAGGTCTTTTCTTGCTTATTCCCTGGGCCAACTCAGGGGAAGATGCTTCTCGGCGCCTCCAAAGCCTGGCGGGTGATTCTGTGTAACCCAAGGCCCCCGGGGCTGACCGGGCACACACCCCGGCTCCCCAGCTCGCTCTCTCCCTTGTTCCTTCCTGGAAAAGAACTGAGAGGCTCCTGCCGTCTTCTCCGGAAAAACCTTGGAAGAAGCTGTGACTTCAGGTGTCGTGGCGGGCCCAGGCCCTGCACCCTATGTGGCGAGGAAGGAGACCTCAGTGGGAGTGACAGGGCCCAGGGGGAAGGCAGGCGACGCACTGGCCCCGAGGACCCGGTACAGCAGCTCCTCCTTCTCCTTCTGGAGCTGTTGTCGCAGCTGTGCCTCCTTCTCCAGGGCCTCACGCGTGAGAAGCAGGTCTTCCGAGAGCTGCCTGTGGATGCAGACAGAGCCCAGGGTGAGTAGCTGCCACAGAGACCAACCCATTCCTCCAGGAAACCTCCCTTAGGTGGACCGGCAGCCTGCTGCAGGGCCCCCACTACCCTCCTTGTTTGCCTGGATACAAGGGGCAATTCAGTTGATTGACCAAGGAGCGGGGGCCTCACAGACAGGCAGGCAGTGCTGAGCTGCTCCAGATCTCTGCTCCACTACTCAGCTGTACAATCCTGAACAAGTTATCCATTCTCCTTAAATTTTGTCTTCTCATTTGTAAAATGGGAAGAAGAAGAAGAATAGGACCCGGCTCTTAATTATGAGGATTAGATGAGAAAATAGATACAGTATTTAATAAATTATGTCTGACACACGATACTAGCTGTTATTTACTGAGCTCTAAGAACTGAGTCATTCCACTTAGGCCTGGTGCACGATGAACTTCCTGTTTCCTCTTCCCCATGTTGGGCTTTCCCACGGAGTCCGCTCAGCCAGGACAGAGACAAACAGATACTCATCATCAAGGCATTGGGACTTTGGTTTCCGGGCAGAGCTGCCCCCTTGGGTTTCCCGACTGTCAGGGAAAGGAGGAGCCACGATCTTTAAATAGCTGTTTGTCATTCCTCAGGCCCCTCTAAGACTCTCCCAACTGGAAATTTTGGCAAAAACGGTGGGGACAGGAGGAAAGGAGGCAGGAAGACAGCTACCTTGACAGGACCACCTGGTTGCGGCTTCGGACATGGAGGTCCTCATTCTCCTGTTGCAGGGTTGTGATTTTTTCCTCCAATATCAGATTTTTCTCTTTCTGTAACAAATCACAGTGAGCTTAGAAAGCTGCCAAACTCGCAGTGTGATCTGTGCTATCACGTCCCTCTGATCTGTGGTCACTGAAAGCACTGATTCATTCTAAACTGGATGTTACATTTCACGGAGCCGTAAGGTAACTCAGCAAAAAATAAAACTAAAAAGTCAACAAAGGGCTGCTGACTTTTTGCCACAGGAGAATGCTAAAAAAAAATTACAGTCCTGACCATCTCATATCACCAAGAGTTCATGGAAGAAAGAATACTTTCTGTTCGCCAAAAGTCAGAAGGATACGATCTATATAAATAAAATTGAGATTG